TCATCTCATTTGACCTCGTTCTTCAGTGTTAGTCACTGGATTGCCCAATTCAGCTTCATGGCAAGATTTGAAGGTAAGTCTTAATTCTTCGTCACTTATCTTGACCCACTTACGCTACTAGCTAATAGCTATATGGTGTCTGACTTTTTGAATGTTGGCGTCTTATGTTTCTTAACTAGGATCACATGCGTCGAGCAGGGGATGTATGCTTTTCCCAAGTTTTCCACGAGGGAAGTGGTAAGATGATAAACAAGGAATTTTTTTCTGCAACGTACAATTCTCTTTTACATTTCAGTTGTACGTCGCTGGTCGGGGAATTTGTAAGGATGAATGAATAAAATTCCAACCTTTACTTTTATTTTTTTCTATTTTTGGGAGTACCCGGACAGGAAGGTGTTTTGGAGGCAAAGGTAGATGTTAAGTCAGTGGGCTAGTATCATAAAGAAACTTTTATGTTCTGTCTGCTTGCATCCAGTGCTATAGGCTGTTCGAACTTTGAAGCAATTTAACATGATTTGAATGTGAATTATAATCAGGTATTGTATATTTTGTATGACTGCGACTCATTGGTATCATATTACTTATTTTGGATAAGTATCCTGGAGCTTATACTACTGTTGGCAACATTTTTTTAGGGTTTGCTTTATTTTGACTAACATGCAACATTTTCTTCTCCATATAGCATGTGCCATTAACCATTTTGGGATTTTGTGTACCTGCACATCAAATGTACACGAGAATAGTTGAATTATCAAGAAAATAATTATTGCCACTTTACCTCAGACCTATGTTCATACTGATTTCGGATTGCAATGTGTTAATTGATAAATTTTGATCTCAGATGTTTATACTGTTATAAGCATCTAAAAGTTCCTATCGAAAAAGTCAATGTATATCCTCTGTCTTTACTGTCTTTTCCTTTCATTGCGATTAATTAGGCCGAAGTTCAGAACCTTTATGTTTACAGTCTTATGTTCAAATTTATTACTAATTCGTCTTGTACTGAGCAGCGTTGAAGTTAGAATTGGTTTCTTTTTGAGTTTTTGTGGAGTTGCTTATTTTGGTTGAGCATTCTTAAAGCATCTGCTTGTTTTGGTCTTGCAGGAAAGACAGGGATAGTGGACTATACAAATTATGATGACATGAAATATGCTGTAAGTTCATCTTCTGTTTTTTCTTCCTATGTTTATTGTTCGAAATGACTAATTTTTGTTTATTCTAATGTCTGATTGGATATCTGAAACATCTATATCTGGACTAATACATGGGGACTATTTTATTTTTCATATTTACAGATAAAGAAGCTCGATGATTCTGAGTTTCGAAATGCTTTCTCACGGGCTGTAGTTCGGGTATGCTGCAAATATTTTAATTTTATGACATGGTAAATGTTCAAGGCTATCTTCTTGTTATTGTGGATGCTTAACTTACAATGTCCTTTCACTGGCTACAGGTGAAGGAATATGATGGAAGCCGCAGCCGCAGCCGCAGCCGCTCTCGCTCAAGAGGAAGAAGCAATGGTCGCAGCCAGAGCCGAAGTCGAAGCAGGAGCAAAAGGTTGGATGATAAAAGGAAATCTTTGTTTTGTTATTTGATTTCAGTGGTTTTCTTTTTGAATACTCCTTCCATCTCATTTATATAGGTTGACTCCTTATTTTCTTATCCCATTTATATAGTCATGTTTCTTTATTGTGAACGTATTTGTTTTGTTCGTTTACTATTTAATTTGCCTAGTTATAACCAATTCCTCGCACTTAATCTTGAATTTTTATGACTTTTAATTTACCTTCTTAGAATTATCCTAATACATACACACATTTCCCATTTCTTCCTCGAAACATGGACAAAAGCACATTATTTACTACTAGTTGTTTATAATTAAATAAGGGTAAACTAGGAAATTCTTTGCAAAAATTGTTTTTTCAATGACATTAAATAAAATTTCTAATTTGCGTGAAAAACAAAATCAGCCTGTATAAATGAGACGGAGGGAGTCGATATTTATGAACTTCATCAATCTCCTTGCAGCAAGTCGCCCAAGGGCAAATCTTCACGCCGTTCAAGATCTCGTTCTAGGTCTGTGTTTTCTCGGTCTCGCTCTGGGTCGAAAGCACGCTCTGTATCTAGGTAACCATCTAAGTTATTCAGCACATATTGTCTGAATGATTTACTTACCTCAGATTGCTTCTACTTTAACTTCTCTCCGTCCAATGCCTTTTTCATCGTTTCTTTGTGCTGAATGTTTTTATTTTTTGGAGTTGATTTTCAGTCTTTTTTCTCTTTTTATGGTCTATTCTTTCACTATTCTGTTTTCTTGGTGTCATGGTCGAATCTGATTTGTACATTTGGTGGTTTATTATTTTTGTCATGTTAAACCGAAGTGGATCTATCCGATGTTATTGCATAAATGAATTAGCTAGTTTCATTGGTGGATAATTTGTCCAACATGTACTTTGTGGTGGGATAATTTGTTTTGTGTCGAAATGGTATGTGTTTCATGAACTTATGAAGCTCAAATATGTGCAGTCATTGTTCCCCTTTCTTGTAGCTGGCACCATGAATATCCTGAACTTTTACTGCATAGTCCTTTTAGGGGTACCAGTGCCACTGAGCTGGTGGGTGGGTTGGGCTCATCTTGGCTCGGAATTGTTACATGAGTATACAAAGTGTTGACTCCTGTTCTCATCTCTTCTGCATGTGCTCGAGTCCAATTTGAAAAAAAGAATAATAATAATAATATGATAAGTTGGCCTGCACGGGACATGCTGGGCTCAGTTCCTTGTTGAGCATCATGAAAACCGGCACAGCCTGTTCTCAAGACGGTCTTCTAGATCTGAAATTGATTCCTCATTTCACTAGAACATGTAAATGGTTAAATGGTTATTTATTGGACCGTCTCTCCAAAGGTGCACATTACTCTTGAGTTCTTAAAACAATCCCCCGAACAACCCCCCGTAGCTTCAATATTTTTCATTACTCCTCTCTCCTTAGATTCTTCTCTTCCCATATTTCACCCTTTGATTATGCTTGAAGTGTGACATTGAGAAAATGTATCCTTTTGTCAAAGAATCATCATGTTCACTCTCTCTCTGTTTTTTTTCCCCAAATTGGAATCAAATTCTTTGTTTTTTAGATAAGCTTGTATGCGCAATTTGGGGATTGCATATTAGGATCTTGGTGGGATATGATTCAATTGCCTACAAATCTTTTGGTGGTGGAGGTATGATGTTTTATAGATGGAACCTTTGGATACTCCATGGTGTCTCCGTTCTAACAAGCATCGCAAATGTCCATGGGTGCTAGATTGGGAACAAAGAAGATCTTGGATTGCGAGTGAAGCAGGACCGTGAATTGTCCTTTGAACACGGAAACGCCCTCTATTTGCGGTGGAAACATTTTCATTGTTGCCAATGCTGTTAAGCTACTTAAGCGTACTATCCAAGTTCTTTATTGGTTCTTTTGGCATCTCGTTGGTCTTTTAAAGAGAATCTGTTAGGTTTATACTGAAGGTTCTGTTTCTTTTTTAATTAGTGTTATTATTTAGGTGATTTTGCTCCCCATTTTTATATTTCCCATTGCAAATTGATAAATGTTTGCGAGTTTCCTCTTATCCATTTTGGTCATGGTGACTCTGACGTGGATGTGGCATCAAGGCTCATGGATCAAAGTTGTTAAGAGGCATGGGTGGATATTAAATTGGGTTGTTTCTGGAACTTTTGCAGATCTCCATCAAGATCCAGATCCCCAACACCATCTGTAAGTTCAATCCTTTTATCTAGTTAAATGCTTGCTACCCAGTCTCTCATTAACAGATGCTCTGTCCTGTTTGGTTTATGTTGATATATAGATAACTCTTAATTGCGTGTTTTGTACGCAATACTAGATAGTAGTGGATAGTTTGTATAATAAACAAGATTTTAGCTTATTTTTCATCTTTTGTATCATCTAGTGCTATCTAACTTTGAACTGGATTTAATTGTTGGTTTGCCTCTGCTTTTTATATTACCACTTTGTTTCGACTTGGCGAATTTCAGCGCCAGAAAAGGGTGGGTAAAAGTCCAACTAGACGCAGTTCCAGTAGAAGTCGAAGCAGAAGCAAGAGTCCCAGCCAAAGTCGAAGCAGGAGTCTCTCTAGGTAGTCTATTCTAATTCACACCATATGATGGAGACCATTCTGTTTTTTGTGATCTAAGTGGATTCTGTTTTCTCAATGCTTTAAACAGGTAACAAATGGCCGTGGTTTGATACAGTGAATCCCGACGTTATGCGTGAGAAAGGATTATCATTCCTAACAAGATTTTCATGCGAGTTTGTTACATTTTGGGCAGATTGGAATCACTGTGTGTTTTGTTTCATGAACAAATTTCTGGAATTCGGCACTGTTGTTTTGTCTCATGGTTGCTGGCTGCATGTATGATTTGTATTTCATGAGAATCTCATGAAGGCTTTAAAAATATTTAGAATAGCAGTCCTGTAGTTACTATTTATCGAGCTATATTGGTTTCTAGGCTATATTGTCGGTTGCAGTTTATCCTTGTGACTTTAAAGCCTGCAGATTGTTGTTGTGCTATTTTACATATGTTTGTGACTTCAAATCCTGCAGTTTATCCTCGAGAAATGCATAATAATTTGTTAGATATGTTGCTACTACACCTTTGTTCCAAGTTATGGAGCACGACTCGGAACATGCAGCTATTGCTTTTGCATTACCATCACTCCACGGGGCCAGGGAATAATACTACATACGAAATTTGCTTCAATGCAAAAATATTCACAACCTGGAAGTGTATGAAACTGAATGCATCAGTTTTCAAATGTTTGATGAATATGAAGAATATAACTGATTACCTTGTCAACAAATAACCTTATTGATGATGCAGATTGACTAAGGATGTATGTCTTTTCTCGCTTTTTGATTTTTACCCAAGGGGACGGTGTATGCTGGAATAGCTGAAATTAGAGTTGAACTAGGAGTTACTTATGCATGGAGATTTACACCTTCAAACAACCAACCTTTCCTCATCTAATCCAGGTACTACTACATCTCCCCACATACCACTGTATTTCGTCCCAACCTCAGCTCCAGCTCGTGAAAACAATTCAACTGCTGCGGGCAACTGTCCGTAATACCTCTTCAAAGCATCGACCAAAAGTCTGTCTTGCGAACGTTGAACATGCCACACATACACGGGTGGAAGAAGATCGTCTATAATTGCTTCTTGCCAGGCATGTTGCCCGTCCCTCATCTGGTGCTTGAATGCCAGGCATTGCCTCACCCTGTGCCCTTTAGGCCCTACTTGGACTTCCGAACAATACCCACATGTTTTGACAGCATACTTCTGCATAAGTTCAATGACTCCTGACCTCATTTTTTCCCACGCTACCATGCCTTGCGCTGCAATACCTGCTCATTTGCACATGAATTAGCACATCCACGAGGTTGGGAGCAAAGGCTGTCAACCAATCATCACAAATTGAGAGTTTTACTGAAACTTTTGTTACAATGTGGTAATTTTGTCCATGTTTGTTAATTCGACTAACACAAAAATGCTGACCTGAAAGCTTAATATGCAAGTAACTGAATTTCATGTCATCTTTTCCAGTTAGTTAAACTAACAAACACTGACTGACTGGTGAATTGTATCAAAGTTCAGTTCAGTGACAAATTTCAAGAAAAATGAAGTCCCTGTTTGGCCCCCATTATCACAAAAAATTATTCTTCTCTGTCTTATCTTCAACCACACAATCTTCCATAAAATAATATTATATGTAAATCGAAAATTTTTACTTTTTTTTGTTCAAGCACACATTCTTCAAAAAATTATAATTTCAAATAATCAGGGTCAAACGGGGCGAAATTTAGTTTGTGACCGCTAGTGTATTTTACTTGGGGAATTAACATTTATCACTACAATTGCCTTTTGGCACTATATCGGTACTTACAGGCAAGACAAGCTGAACAATGCTAAAACATTGACGAGGAAGATCCTGTAGAATGAATTCATTTCGAAAGGATAATATCATGAAGGCATACCTTTCAGATCCTTATGAGGGAAATTTGAAGACCTTCCACTGTCATTCAACCTCTTTGCCATCTCCCAAAAGCCGAACGTGTCTATGTCCTTTCGGGATAAATCATTTTTGGAGAACCTCTTTTCAAAATCTAGTATCCTCCCAGCAACACAGTAAACAGGGAATTCTCTTCTTCTTGTCGGGTACTCGAGAATGTCCACACCGGCCTGAATGCACAGTTCCACGACAGCTGGAATTCGATCCACTTGTAGCCGCTCATTATGGGAAACGGCTCTTCCCAACCTATCATACAGATGAAAAGATTCCACGATGGGCAATACGTGCTCAATGCCACCACTAGCCCAAGTATGCTCTTTGTCGTTCTTACTACCGCTTACATTACATGTTCTAATTTGGTGGGGTGGACTGCCCACATGAACTTCTCCACAAACACTGCACGAGACAAAAAGCGTTCACATCCGTCATTAAATACAAGAGTGACTGAGGTTTTAAATGTTGGGAATCTGGGCTAATTTCCAGATTCACAACAGGATCATTGTATTGAAAATATATAAAAGAACAGAGAAATAAAGAATGATGATAATATCAACAACAAGAACACAATACGTTTGCACACCCTAAACTCCAACTAGACTAATAAAGGCTAAAGGCTCGTGAAACAACGACTAGTCTGAGAGACGTGCAAAAAACACCTCTCACGTATAGGAAAATAAAAGATGTGGCTAACCATTCCTCTTTGGTGTGGGACCGACAAATCTAGAGCCTGTTTGGTACAGATTTTCATTTTCTACAGTAAATCAATTCTCACTTTCAACCACACATTTTTCAATAAANAGTAAATCAATTCTCATTTTTAACCACACATTCTTCAATAAAATAATATTTTTCATCACATCAATAATTTTTTCTTTTTTTTCAACCACACATTTCCCATCATATCACTATTCAAAAATTAATTCTTCCCCAAAAAATCCTTACCAAACACACTCCTAATTTCTATTCCATGTGGAGCGAGGACAAGAGTTGCTTCTAACAGACCCCACTTACGAGGAGGGAAAAATTCCAACATTAGGCAACCAAACTAACACTATTGAACTCAATGGCACTAACTTCAGCATTTATGATAACTTCCAATATGAAATCTATATGTACCTGCAAGAATGAATAGGAATGCTATCAGCAAGTATGGATATGCAAGTGAATAACTCACTTCTGGCAGCTAAAACTTCGTGAGCAACTGGTATTAGTTCTTTTACCAACAGCCCATTTTCGGGAGGGCTTAAAGTGACCTCTCTAACTACTCTTCTCTCTTTCTTTTCCAATCTAGCTTTACGTTTCACTTCATTGATATCAGTTACCCATGGCTTTTTATCAGACTTGCTGAGCCTTCTTGGTAGCCCAACATAACCCAACCCAGTTGAGTATAATGCACAAGGGTAGTTTTTCAACTCGTTTGTAGCTGAGATTTTCGCATTGCAACGTTTTGAAATTATCTGATTGAAGTGCAAGATCGTTCGAGCTCTTCTTGGGAACATTACTAGGATTGGTGTGTAAAGTTTGGACAATTCTGGTTTGAGTTTTATCAGTCAGGGATTTTGTAGAACAAGATGCATGCAATAAAGGACATTACCATGGCACGTTAACAACATCGGTGAGGGTAAAAATTGGAAAATCTGATCGAGTTTTTTCAGTCGGGGAATTCATCGAACAGTTTGCGTACAACACAGAGATCTCACACAACATACTAGAAAAAATTTGACCAAGAACTAGAGCGGAAGTATTGATTTTCAAGAATTGAAATGGAATAGTTCAATCATAATAGCAGAATTGTTCAAAAATTCACAAATTTGAACTTCAATTCAGATGAAAGTAAAAAATATGAACTCTTGTTCGAAAGTGTTAATTCTTTCGTTTTGGCATTAGTTAGTTTTGAGCGTAAAAGAGTAGTAAGATCCTCACTTCCCTAAAAGAACCAACCTTTGAACTGCGTTGCATTTGGATCCTCAACCTTTTAAAAATGAGCATCTGAGTCGAAAACCTTTCATTTCTGTAACATTTAGGTCTTAATGAAGAATTTTACCAAGATGCCAAGATTTAATTACAGAGATGGTTTTTCCCCAACTTTAAATAATAATAAAATGAAATTAAAAAAATCATTGTAATAGTATGTCTTCTTCACTAATCCGTCATATCCTTCATCTCCACCACAAGCCAAAGCTTATAAACCACACCGAGCATAGATGAGGCTAATTAATGTGGCATTTTTCATTAGCTCTCTGTGTGTGGCATAAACACTTCTAAAGAAATTTCTTTTCTGATGTGTTGTGTCAAATGATAATTTTAAAAAACGAAACAATTATTTGATTTCGAGTCAAATAATCAAGCATTTTATAATTCTTTCAAGAAATAAAAAATTATACAGTGTTATATTTTTACAATAAAAAGTTCATTTGAAAGTTTTGTTCAATCATGAGCTCTATAATCGAAACATTAAATTAAGATCGAGAATTTGGCGTTTCTTGAAAATTTCTTTTATTTTGCTTCTTTAAATTTGACAAACAATTATACAGTGGACCTAACGTGTCCAGAATGACAAATAATAAATTGTGTTTTCTTATTTCTTTGATCCTTCACGTTCTTGCAAACTTGAAACGTGCGATTAAGTTTTCTATAGTAATAATTATCTTGTTTTACAGTTTAGTTTTTTAATTATTATATTAATTCAATTATTGTTCAAAATATGTAATATATACACAACTTACTACTTTCCCAACTGAAATTGTCAAAACAAAAATAATAGTAAAATTGGAAGTTCAAAACATAAACTACCATATAACCAGTTTTTCACTCCATATTAGTGCTATTGCCGTCAATTTTTCAAATTAATTAGGCTTATTGATCCAAAGAATGTCCACACCGGCCTGAATGCACAGTTCCACGACAGCTGGAATTCGATCCACTTGTAGCCGCTCATTATGGGAAACGGCTCTTCCCAACCTATCATACAGATGAAAAGATTCCACAATGGGCAATACATGCTCAATGCCACCACTAGCCCAAGTATGCTCTTTGTTGTTCTTACTACCGCTTACATTACATGTTCTAATTTGGTGTGGTGGACTGCCCACATGAACTTCTCCACAAACACTGCACGAGACAAAAAGCGTTCACATCTACAAGAGTGACTAAGGTTTTAAATGTTGGGAATCTGGGCTAATTTCCAGATTCACAACAGGATCATTGTATTGAAAATATATAAAAGAACGGAGAAATAAAGAATGATAATAATATCAACAAGAAGAACACAATATGTTTGCACACCCTAAACTCCAACTAGACTAATAAAGGCTTGTGAAACGACGACTAGTCTGAGAGACGTGCAAAAAACACCTCTCACGTATAGGAAAATAAAAGATGTGGTTAACCATTCCTCTTCAGCGTGGGACAGACAAATCTAATTTCTATTCCATGTGGAGCGAGGACATGAGTTGTTCTAACAGACCCCGCTTACGAGGAGGGAACAATTCCAATATTAGGCAACCAAACTAACAATATTGAACTCAATGGCACTAACTTTAGCATTTATGATAACTTCCAATATGAAATCTACATGTACCTGCAAGAATGAATAGGAATGCTATCAGCAAGTATGGATATGCAAGTGAATAACTCACTTCTGGCAGCTAAAACTTCGTGGGCAACTGGTATTAGTTCTTTTACCAACAGCCCATTTTCGGGAGGGCTTAAAGTGACCTCTCTAACCACTCTTCTCTCTTTCTTTTCCAATCTAGCTTTACGTTTCACTTCATTAATATCAGTTACCCATGGCTTTTTATCAGACTTGCTGAGCCTTCTTGGTAGCCCAACATAACCCAACCCAGTTGAGTATAATGCACAAGCGTAGTTTTTCAACTCGTTTGTAGCTGAGATTTTCGCATTGCAACGTTTTGAAATTATCTGATTGAAGTGCAAGATCGTTCGAGCTCGTCTTGGGAACATTGCTGGGATTGGTGTGTAATGTTGGACAATTCTGGTTTGAGTTTTATCAGTCAGGGATTTTGTCGAACAAGATGCATGCAATAAAGGATATTACCATGGCACGTTAACAACATCGGTGAGGGTAAAAATTGGAAAGTCTGATCGAGTTTATTCAGTCGGGGAATTCATCGAACAGTTTGCGTACAACAACAGAGATCTCACATAACAGACTACAAAAATTTAACCAAGAACTAGAGCGGAAGTATTGATTTTCAAGAAATGAAAAGGAATAGTTCGATCATAATAGCAGAATTGTTCAAAAATTCACAAATTTGAACTTCAATTCAGATGAAAGTAAAGAATATGAACTCTTGTTTGAAAGTGTTAATTCTTTCGTTTTGGCATTGGAATTAGTTTTGAGCGCAAAAGAGCAGTAAGATCCTGACTTCCCTAAAAGAACCAACCTTTGAACTGCGTTGCATTTGGATCCTCGACCTTTTAAAAATGAGCATTTGAGTCGAAAACCTTTCACTTCAGTAACATTTAGGTCTTAATGAAGAATTTTACCAAGATGCCAAGATTTAATTACAGAGATGGTTTTTCCCCAACTTTAAATAATAAAAAAATGAAATTAAAAAAATCATTGTAATAGTATGTCTTCTTCACTAATCCGTCATATCCTTCATCTCCACCACAAGCCAAAGCTTATAAACCACACCGAGCATAGATGAGGCTAATTAATGTGGCATTTTTCATTATCGTTCTATGTGTGGCATAAACACTTCTAAAGAAATTTCTTTTATGATGTGTTGTGTCAAATGATAATTTTAAAAAACGAAACAATTATTTGATTTCGAGTCAGATAATCAAGTATTTTATAGTTCTTTCAACAAATAAAAAATTATACCGTGTTATATTTTTACAATAAAAAGTTCATTTGAAAGTTTTGTTCAATCACAAGCTCTACAATCGAAACATTAAATTAAGATAGAGAATTTGGCGTTTCTTGAAAATTTCTTTTATTTTGCTTCTTTAAATTGGACGAACAATTATACAGCGGACCTAACGTGTCCAAAATGACAAATAACAAATTGTGTTTTCTTATTTCTTTGATCCTTCACGTTCTTGCAAACTTGAAATGTGCGATTAAGTTTTCTATAGTAATAGTTATCCTGTTTTACAGTTTAGTTTTTTAATTATTATATTAATTCAATTATTGTTCAAAATATGTAATATATACACAACTTACTACCTTCCCAATTGAAATTGTCAAAACAAAAATAATAGTAAAATTGGAAGTTCAGAACATAAACTACCATATAACCAGTTTTTCACTCCTTGTTAGTGCTATTGCCGTCAATTTTCCAAATTAATTAGGCTTATTGATCCACCCGATCTGAATATTTGGATCCACAAATTTCTAAATCCCTATTCGGTGACCATTTTTTTGAAAAAAAAAAAATATTTTTTGGAATAGTAAATTTTTAAAGAATATGTGTTTAAAAAGTAGGGAATTATTTTGAGTTTACGTGTAGAATATTTTACTGTGTAATTGAAAATGAGTATATAAAAAAAAGAGTTTTGAAAGAACGAAAAACAAATATGGATTAAAGATGAAAAGAAATAAAAAATTAAGATATCCATTAGTAGCCAATCATTTAGCCACAAATTTGAAGTGTACGCATTTTTTTTACTAGGGTCACGGGGATCAATTTACTCATTTCGAAAGGTTGGAGACCGAATTCCTAATAGCCAATTGCTTGAGGGCCAATAGTGCAGATTTCCCGTATATAAACAGCACACTGAGCACTTATCGTGCCCTACAATTTTTGCTACTCTGTACTCAGCTTCTAGGGTTTTCGTTTTCTCTCTTCTTCCAGAAATCTAAAACTTAAACATGAGGTAACGTTTTTGCTTCTGTATTTTAATTTTGCGGTTCAATCTCTGAATCAAAAGCTGTTCTTTTTTCTTTCTCTGAAAATTTACTCAAAGTTGCTTACTTTGCATTTAGTTGATTTTTTTTTTAATTCTCACGAATTCAGTTCCCGTTAGTTGTTTTCTTCTGCAAATTTATGTTTGATTAATTTAAAATTTATGTAATTTAGAAATTTCTGTTTCTAGATGTTGAATGGAAAGAGGAAAGAAGTATGGGCACGGACGAAATTAGAAGTAAAAATGTTCGATAGGTCTATTAGAAGAACAATATGTGTTTTTTTTTGCTATAGTTAGTATTTTAAGATTTTTTGATTTTTGTTAATTTAATATTTTTATTGATGTTTATAACTACTATAAAAATAAAAATAAAACTTGCGTGGTTGATATTTGTATGTCCCTGTCATTTTACAGAGAAAAAATGGTTTCATATATTATTTCTTTATCAGTATGAGCATATTAAAGATGCTAACATTGCTCTAATTTACAGCGTATAAGTTTATTTTTGATTATAAATCCTCGAGTAATTTGTATCCAGCTTTCTTTAGGGAGTTATTGGCTAATATATTGTCTGTTATGTAGCCTACATCCGGAGGTCAAGTGGGCCCAAAGGGAGGACAAGGTATTTATTACAGTGCTGCTGCCAGATGCTAAAGACCCCAAGGTCAATCTCGACCCAGAAGGAGTTTTTACATTCTCTGCTACAGCAGGGGCGGACAACAAACCCTATGAACTGAAACTGGATCTTCAAGATAAAGTTAATTTAGAGGTGAGAGGCTTCGTCATATGTTCTTTAACGTTGCATTTAGTGCAAGTAGATTGTTTATAACGTGGATTTATGAGGAAGAATTATCAGAAAATGTAACTGGTTATTGATTAATCTTTTTTTTTTCCCTTTTGGCCACAGTACACATTGCTTGCATACTTCTAGTTATACAATGGGACTTCAATTTCTACTTTATCCACTTGTTGTTGATTTATGTTTTGTGGCTATAATTTGTGATTTTCAGGAGAGCAAAATAAACATAGGTGTGAGAAATATATTTTGTGTTCTAGAGAAAGCAGAGAAGAAATGGTGGGATAAATTATTGCGTGGACATGGGAAGGCACCTCACTATATTAAAGTAGATTGGGATAAATGGGTGGATGAAGATGCTGATGCTGATGCTGGTGCTGGTATGTTATATTTTATCATCTTTATAGTGGTTATGTACAAATTTGATAAATGTGACAGGAGATGAAGAGCTTGTTTGGCCAAATTGAATTATTTATTTTATTATTATCAGTTACTTTACCTGCATTGCTTGTGATTGGGTAAAATACTTCAATTATTTTATTTTTTGAACTATAGTAGTTATGTCAAATAAATGAAAATGGCGTCTCGATGTCTTCATGTTATAAAGATATTCATACTACATTTGATTCAAATTTTACTAGAAACTTTATTACAGTATTTTTAAATTTAACAGTCAGTCAATCAATATAGAACTGCTCAAGACTTAATATTTTAAAAATGATATATTATATGCTATAAGTGATTAAAATATAATATTTGAAATTGTTGAATAAATTAATGAATAGTTTCTAGAAATGTCTAATTCAAATTTATGTTATATCAATTTATTTATTAAAATTTTATTCTTGCAAAATAATTTTGATGTTTCTGATATTTAAGATATTTGCTATATAAATGAAATATACTTGTATATATATTTTTTTACTAATTCAGAGTGTAATTAGTACTAATTTGTCATTAGTAAACTTTAATAATTTCTTTAAAAATAATGTTATTAGTATGTTAAAGATAATTTTATAAATTTGAACATAACTAAATTAAATTTTATTTAATATTGAAATCCCTTAATTTATAACTTTTATTTTATTGCATAAATAATGATTTTTAATGTTCTTAACAGTAATCATATTCACGTGACGTCCTTTTGTTGGTTAAAGGATAAAATAAGTAATCAAATTAAGTGATTTTATTTGTAAGGAAAAAGGGTTGCAGACCTGTGTTTGAGATTTTCTTTCAAGTTCTGTAAGCAATGCCAAATATATTCTGATATCTTTTAATTCCTCTTCATAATTTGATCAGGTCCTGCAGATGATATGGGTGGTATGGATTTCTCGGTAAGGATTTCATTGTTTATTATCATCATAATTTGGCATTTTCCTCATTATGATCACCTTTGATGTTTATCCATTTTGGTGCATTCTACAGAAATTCGGTGACATGGGCGGCCTAGGAGGCATGGGTGGCCTAGGAGGCATGGGTGGCCTTGGAGACATGAGTGGCCTAGGAGGCATGGGGGGCCTTGGAGACATGAGTGGCCTGGGAGGCATGGGTGGCCTTGGAGGCATGGGTGGTCTAGGAGGTGATGCTATGGGTGATGACTTTGAGGATAGTGATGATGAAGGTACTGGAAAGGGTGTATAATGTGTTTGTATGTGCTTGTGTGGTAAATAGGTTGTTCTGTTTCTGATATTGTTAACTTTCTTTATGGATTGTTAATTGGTTGTTGGTAAATAGGTTGTTCTGTTTCTGATATTGATTTGACTTTCTTTATGGGTTGTTAATTGGTTGTTCTTTTCGTAATATCGACTAACTTTCTTTTATGAGTCAGGATTGGTTCTTGTTATGGGTGGATGGTGTCTGTTCAACCCTAGGGTGTGCCAGATGCTTTCACAGTTATGGTGCACCTAAAACGATTTAAGAAATAGTTTGTTGAACCCTTTTTAAGGGGAAAAATGAATTTTAATTTCCCCAAAGGCCTTCATAGGGATGAGGAATCAAGAGCGGATTTAAGCCCCTTCCCTTGAATTTTATCTTTATTTCTTTTACCTTTTGTACGTCACCTACCCTCACCCATCGGCCAAAAAAGTGACTCTGGTTAACTGGCATTATAAATTTTTTCTTCTTTTATTATCTATTTGTGGCTTGCCTCCCTCCATTAGCATCGTGTTGTTTATTTGTGAAGGAGCAGAATCACCACTTTTTACCATTTTGAAGAGATTAAATATATGTCTGATGCATTTCTACATTAGATTCGATCACTCCTCTTATCACGAATGAATTCTCTCACCTTCATCCTTTTACAGACCAAGAAGTCGGAAAACCTGAAGACAAAGCTGATGACGAGGTAGGTGAAGCTACCAAGGGCAAAACCGGTTCTGCCTCTACTTAAATGATTCGTGTAATTCAGGCCTTGTGCTTTCAGCTGGAGTTGTTACATTTGGTAATTAACGCATGCTTGCATGCATGCATGCATTTTCTAATAGAACGAAGATTATTTTATGTGGTTTTTGTGCTGAAGAAAACATTGATATTTGCTCTCCAGGGCAGACGTTTATCTATCCATTTTGAGGTGTTGTAACTTCGCTAATTTATGAGTGGATTTTGTATTGAAATGGTTTTTGAACTACACGTTTCTTTGCATTCTATTGAAATGCATGTGCCAATGCTTGCATAATGGTGTATTTCGTTCGTGTGAATTATGTGGTGAGGGACTCTAGAATGTCGGCTGTCCTTGGTGGCGTAGTTTCAAAAAGTAAAATTTTTATTAGATCTGTTTATTTGCTTATATTCACATGTTTTGGTGTGCTTATTTGAAGCTTATAAGTGGGAGAGTTGTATATATTGCTTATGGGGCTTATTTGGAGCTTATAATCTTGTTGCAGAAAAAGATGCATGTGAATTTGTTGGATGATTTTAAGAAAAATTAAGAGTAAATTATGCTTTAAAGTTTTCGTTGAATCTTTTTTATTCACAATCAGGTATTTATTATAAAAAATAACTTAAATATATTTTTAAGTATCTGATTTTCCATTTTCATGAATCCAACGCCCCTTACCTTTCCCCATGGTCGTCTCACCTTTGCCTATTAGCTGTCCAGCAAGAATTAGTGAAAGCATCTCTATGGGAAGCATGTAGAAAGGAAAAGAAGTTTATCGTATTGAAGGGATTGTTTATATCTATGATTATAATGAAAGAGATGATAGTTTATGATTTAGCGAATTATTTGCTCAATGCAATAATTGAAATTATGATAGTAGGTTAGACAATACGTCCAAGCTCGGGACGACGAGACACAGTGAGGGCTAGAGAAGATCCAGCCTTTTTCGTTTATCGAGAGTAGATTACAATATGTTGAGTGAGTTAAACGAGATAGCGAGGATTACTGGTTGGCTGTGTTCATGAATTTTAATTTAATCTTGATGTGCTTGAAATTGGACCAGGCAAATATCCCAGTTTTCTGTTCAACCTATCAAGCTGTTTCACAATCCATGTTTGAGAAGAAACCAATTGAAGACCATGAAATATGCCAAAAGTGAAAAGACAATATTCGGAAGCATCCATGTGACGTAAACAAATTAATAGACTCCAAAACCCCTCAATCTCACTTTCGTCGGACAGATCAAAGAACTTCACACAACATTTTGCATTCACGACATACAAATGGGTCGAGGACAATTTTTTGCAGGAAAAACTGATATGTAAGCTACAATAAAGCCTAGCAGGCCTACTTCAAAGCTCGTGTAATATTTCTACAATCCAAATCCAAGTATATGTGAATATATTCGAAACGCTTTCATCGTTGCATCATACAAAGTAGAGTCTAATACTCGCATGAAAAATCAAATGGTACTCTTTTATAAAACAAACATCATATAGTTTAAACTGGCCAATAGATGCGCTTTAAAATTCAGCAATGTCATTCGTAGTTAGCGAGTACAGCATTCAACATATTTGGTAGTGCTTGTTATTCGAGGCAACAAAATTACAGGAAACTAATGCCTTGAATAACAATTTTCCACATATGATAACTAATCTAATCGCTAATTATGAATAGTTCTTTAAAAATAGTAGACAGCCACCATCAGTTGTTTTGGCACCTTACTGTGCATCATCGACCTCGCCCTCCACCTGCCACTATATTCAAAACCATCCATTAAGACAATACAACAACATTGACTAGTAGGCAGAACAGTAGAAAACACCCATCTAAAATTATCAAGCACAAAATTGTGGGGATTAATCCTTTTGCCAATGTCAATATGTTTTTGGTAATGCCAATTCATTAGCAGTTTTCATTTCCGTAAAAGAAAATACATACTGCACAAGCCATGCAAACGCAACAGAACGTTGCTCTTAATCTAAAGAAATGCAAATCCAGATAGAGTTAGCGATTTACCTTTGTTTCCACCTCTGCCCCGACCTCCTCCTGTGTTTTTAGCAGCTCCATCATCCAAACCGCGACCAATGCCTTTTGCTTTAGAGCTATCCTCTCTACCTCTTCCTCTTCCACGGCCTACTCCAGGTGGCCTCCTATCTGGAAAACATCCAAAGACAGCAGTTAACTTATGAGAAGAACGTGCGTAAGTATCTATCATGTCAAAATATTATTAACTTTGAATTTATGAAGCTACAATCTGACTAGAAAATAAATCAGAAAAATGAGTACTAGAAAGAACACATCAATCGACAAGCAGGACAGGATGATCCGAATATGCAATATACAGGAAAGATAACACATATCTCCACATCTCTCATTGTAGAATAAGAGTAACTATGAGGCCACAGTACAAAGTGGATAAACTAGGAATGGAACCTAATATACAGTAAGTAATTAATTTCATAGGCAAGGAATTCCAAATAATATCAAAAGACAATTATATGTTCAAATTACAATTGAACTAAATATAAAAATAACAATTATACCAGAACGACTCTTCTCTTCTTGAACTTTGTCAATTACCTGGAAAATAGAGAAATCCATCACATACAAGTAACCCAAAGTCCCAAACATCTAAAGAAAAATCAAAAGAAAGAATTCATTTAAGAAACTGTTAATTCTATAGTGGTATCAGCTATCAGAATTGACGGAAAAAATTTATTAAAAAAAAAGGCAAAGAGGAGTGAAGCTAGACGGAAAGCATGCAATATAAGCATTTTGATGAGTTCAAAGCCTTCTCTATGTTATAACGGAGTTTGCATTTCAATCAAAATTTTCCGCACCAAATGTTATGTCCTCGAAAGCATCTCCAGAAATAATTAATATTTGCCAATGGTGAAGGAATATTAGTGTAATACATGGATACCTGAAGAAAAGAAAGTTGTTGCAAAGCCATTAACGAGCATTAAAAATAATTTGTGATATCCAAGACTCGTGTTGGTGTCTAAATATATCATTTAAACAATTGTATTCGGCAATAGTGACTTTCTCAAGATATCTCCTGGATTAGTAAAGGAGTTATCCACAGCAGTACTGAAAAACTGCTAGAACAATGATGAGCATATTTGATCAAAAATCTGAGCAATGAATTTTTATACAGTCAAGGAGGCCATGATGTATTTCTTTTGTGAATATGTAGCGTGCTCAAATACAGATAGAGGTTGCAAGGTAAGAAGATAATACTGTGGAGTTCTCCAAGAAACTCGGCAGATACAAAGTGGAACATTTCCCATAATGTGTAGCACATATTCACCTTTTATCTTTACAAACATATAATAAGTAAAAATCAAGACAAAATTGCAAAGCACTGTTCCAAGTATCGATACGCACGTACTGCAACAAGAAAATGAATTAATAACAAAAACAATATCAATTAATTTTGAAGATACAGAAGCTCATTTGCAAATACTTGCAGTATCTTCCTTTTCATTAGTAGAGTATAAACCAACAACTAAGATCAAATATTAGCAGAAAACTTGATAGGAATAGGATGAACAAAACAGAAAACATCATCTGCAAACAACATAATTATCTGAGATATACCTCATCTGGAACTCTAAGATACTTAATTGTATTTCCCCGAATGTAGCACTCAGGCATTCGCCAAAACCTATCTCCATCCTACATTGGGAAGCCATCTCCAAACCTCATAAGTTCAGCATAAACAGTAGCGCACTTGAACGCATAATAGATCACATGCACACATTCCAGAACAATTCACTCAGGGCATCAAGAAAGATGAGCAAAAGTAACGAAATGAAGGACCTTAGATGTACATATAACTTCACGCAGATGAATGTTCATCCAAGTGTCGCAGTTAACCAAATGCCCATTGTAAGTCTCCCCATTTTTCAGCTCCACCAACTGCCACACCACACAAACCATCACTATTATGAGCAACTAAAACTTAAATCAACAACACTTCTCAGTAACTTATATTTATCAAATAAGAATATCAAATCTTCACACCAAAGCCTATAGGTAATCTTTAAGATTCATAATATAAACCACAACGAAGTCCCCGGAGCGAATTGGTTATCTTTCCAGAGCATGTTTGACAAGCTTAAATAAAAAGAAAGTTATTTTAGTTATTTCTGAACTTCAAATATGTTTGGATAACCTTTTTTTAAAACAAAAAAAAACTTATAAGTTGAAAAAAGCTATAATTACCATTACAATAAGTTACTTATTTCTATCTTTGACCAGTGAAAAATGATTCATTTAAAAAAAAATACTTATTTTACTTATAAATGAACTTTTTAAGCATGTTTATCTAGCTTAAGTAAAGTAGAAGTTACATTTTGTACCGAAATATGATTGCATATGATATTTTTTCTTACTTTGAAGTAAAAAAGTTTAGTTTTAAAGTAATTCTTCCATCAAATAAGTAACTTACTTGTTCCTGATTTTTAGTCAATAAAAAAGTTATTTACTGTAAAACATACTTTTACTTGTAAGTGAAATTTTGAAGTTCAACCAAACCTGACTTCATTTCAAGAAGAAAATGAAGAAGTAGAAATTATACCATGGGGTGACCTTGAGCGGTCTTGAGTAAAGAAAGAGGAAGCTGCAAAACCAAACAATCAACTAAGCGAAAATCAAAGCTTTTATTCCATGGTTTCAAAGACCAAAACAAACCCTATAATATGCAGCGAATATTGACTGACCATTTTCTTTAGAGCGCAAAAGAAACCTGCAATCAAAACAATTAAAAAGAGAAAATAAATAAAGATCGCCAAAAACCTAACTTTTAATGGAAGTCGAATTATACTACTTTTCATTACAAAAAGAGAAGGGAAAAAAAAAATTTGTGTAAAGAGGAGTAACGATGACTAAAATGCAAAAAGAAATTAGGATTACCGATTGAGAAAGCTGTCGATCAAGAAACAAGGTTTCGACCCAGAAATTATTCTCTCTAAAGTTTCTGTAAAATAGGAGAGGGGAAGAAGTCCTGGAGCAAGAGCAGGGACTTGACTATACATTTGTTTTCAAGTTTTTATGTTGTTTTAAAATTTTATTTAGGTAAAATTACAACCACGGTACTAAACTTTCACTTTTATACAGATTTGATCCAAACCTTTAACTTGTGACACTCACGGTATCAAATCTTTTATAAACTTACATGTAAAATAGTTGCAAATGTCGACTAGTTTTTTAAGGGGAAAAGAATAACATTACATTTTTCATATATAATTTACATCATTTTATTAGAAAATTTTATATAAGATATTACATAAATTTTTTTTTCGAAATTTTACATTCGAAAAAAATCATACCCGCATTCAAATTTTCGGACGTAAAATTATATGGAGCATGATTTTTTTATTTTTTTATGTAAATTTTAAATTTTTGAATGTAAAATTCTTCGTAATTTTTTTACAAGTTTGATTGTACCAACTAATTGAAAATGTCTGCATCCATCCTTGTCCATTCTTTACTCTATCTCTTTTGTCCGTGAGGGGTTGTTAGGACACGACTCTATTTCTTACTCTTGCTAACACGCCTCTATTTTCTAATATTGCTCTTTTTTTGTACTAAGGATTGTATAAATTGTAAAATAGGCTCCATTCCTTTTTATTTTTTTAAGAGAGATCGAACGTGAGATTGTAAAAAAAAACCCTCGAAACCTTCGTTCTCTACTGCATTCGTGCATTTAATAGGATAACTTCAATTATATTGCATTAACCAACGTTCCATTTGCAATTACGTTTTTATCACAATTATGTTATATTACTGCTCCCAAATGTTGTACTTTTCGTCCACTCTCAAATTTTTTATCAAATATAATATTCGTTCTCCTCTCAATTTCTCATCTAATTGATATTTATTCTGTGCTTTTTATAATCCCACCTCGATTTTTCCACTTTAATTATCGTCCAGATTTTCATGTATAACTAAGAGTGGGCGCGATCTGATTTTGAAGAGAACCGAACCAAATCGAGTATCAATGAGATTCCTAGAAATTAAATCATGGATTTCATACCCAACTATAGAACCGAATCAGAACTGACCGAACCAACCGGTTCTGAGTTGGTCCGATCCGATTTTTTATATAAAAAAATTATGAAAATAAAGTATGAAATTACTTATTAAATTGAAAATAGACAAAAATAGAGTGAAATCACTTGTCATTCTTGTAATTTAACAGCACAAAAAATCAATTGAACAAGACAATGAACAAAAATCCATTTCAAAACTCAATGTCAACTTATAAAAGCGAAAAAATGACACAAACTGAACTACAAAATATATTTTTCCTAATAACATGAGCTAATTTTGGGATCTAACGTTCAAAAATCTAGTACGTTAAAAAAAAAAAAGATTGAATCAAATGCAGGAGAAATGAATTCACCATTAGCTCTCAAAACAGTACCAAGAACTAGATTGAAATCGACCGATCCTCGATGAATGATCCCAAAATCAACTTCTATAGTAGAGAAATTGGAGCCGAACAGGTCGATTCTATTTGGTTCTGATCTGGTTCCACCAATTTTGGGAAAAAATGCACGCTCGGGCTTGTTTGGAAGAAATAATAAATGCTAAATTTATTAATTATATAAACAAATAATGAATAAACAAATAATAATTATATATTGCACTACAATAGTTACACATCATACAAAGTACGTGATTAAATAATTTTCGAACATAATAAACTCGTTATAATTTAAACTAATCAATCCACAAAATCGCAAGTTTGTTCTGGTCGGCAACCCAACTTAAATAAAAATAATAATCTTGACATTTAAAAATGTTTAATATCATAGTCTGCTGTAGCTAATTAAAAATCTAAAACTTCTGCATACACTCCATTCCATTACACACACAAAACCACGTCGTTTGAGGCAACTATTTCAAACTAATTTCCTCAATAGTACACAAGCCTAAGATTTACAATAGATAAAAGCAACGCCCAAATTAAACAAGGCTTAACAAGATGGCCGGCAATCGGGTTCATCACCTGAAACATACGAGAACACCCAACCATAGCCCCGAATAAGGCCGTACACATCACCAACCCGACCCGAGTTGCTCCTGCTCCAAATACAATCGGGTACCACCCCAAACTCAGCCCAAGCTGCCCCAAATAGAGAAGCAAAGCACTGGGCTGCTTGTGAAACCAACCATCGGCCCAAACAAGCCAAGAGGACAGGCCCGAGAGAAAAGCAGCAGCCAAACAGGTCAAGTGCAAGGCCCAAAGAGGAGGGAAATAGAAGGGCTTTTCGATGTTCCGGTACCGATTGCTCGATCCGAACAGGTAAATATCCATTATCGTTAACAAAATTGGGAACGAAAGTGCAAGTGCCAATGATCGGAGCCCGCGGCTGGCCATGCCCCTTTTTTTCTGGCGTCTAGGTTTGCCGTTATTATTCATATCCGCAGCGGAAGAGGCGTCGATTTCCTTAGTTTCTCCTTCTTGTTCTTCTGGTTTAGTTCTGTGTTTGAGCTCCTGCGATGCCATAATAAGGTATTTTTGAGTGGAGATAACGTTAAGGATTTTCAGAGAGAGAGAGAGATCGTGTGTACAGGAGGGATTTGAGGCGAGGGAATTTATAGATCGGAGAGTGTTTATCGGTTAAAATTTGAAGGACACGTAGCCGAAAGAGGCGATGGAAAGGTGTAGGATAAGCGTACACGTGGGGAGAATTTGAGCTCCTGCGGTGCCTCAACTCGGATTTCTCCTGTTTTTGGTCTGCAGACACAAGAGTTAACTGTGTGTCGATTCTGGTAATTACACGTGGCTCGACGCGTGGACATTAGCTCCGGACCGGACCGGACCGAACTGCACTGTTGAGGGTCGAACAAACGTCAACGACCGGTCGTTTTTGGAGAGACGAACAATGTTTAAAAATCAATCCAAAGGTTAATTTGTATAAAGTTTAAGGTTATGAGTAAAATATGGATAAACAAAGTAATTCTCAAATAATCAGTTGAGGACTTGGGCCAACCACTGGATGACATTGGCCTGTCGGCATCTCCGTATGTACAACAAAGTGAGTTGATACTCAGGGCTTGTTTGTCTCCCATTTTGGGAGAAGAAATAGAGTTTTGAATCATATTTTTTAGAGAATGTGTGATTAAAAAGTAAAATAATTTTATTAGATTTATATATATAATATTTTATTGAATGAATATGTGGTGGAAATTGTTTATTGTTGGCAAACAATGTTTGATAAAATGGATGACAAACATGGGCTCATTTGGCGCTTGTTTTACAAATAATTTTTGAGCAGTAATTTCTTTAAAAGCTTGTTTTTTTGTGACAATAAAATAGAATAAAGTTAAGAAGAAAAGGTCAAAAAATTAATGTATGTATTTGAAATATTAGCAATGTTGATCAAATCAATCACGCATTCGAGTCATATAACACGTATTAGATGCCAAAACTTCAATTTTGTACTTTATATGAATTAAACAAGATGTCAATTTATTTTGACTAATCAAATATTTTTTTTCCAATACAGTACAAATAATTGCACATTTTCATTTATTTTATTTACTAATTAAGTAAGTACGTGGATTATGCAATAATTTCACAGACAAAATCTAAGAAAATAAAATTATTATTGTGAACTCTATTCATCATATACAAGGAAATCTAAATGGAGAAGATCTTCTACAACTTTGCTTACGTTGACGTATAAGAATTGAATAATGCTATTCACAATGAGTGAATATAGTAGTCATCATATATGACATCATAATTCCTGTGTGTCATGATTTTAATAATTAAAAAGAATATTCATATTATCAATGAAACAATCACAAGTAGGATGTCACATAAGACGACTACGAATAACATTACATATAAGAATTATTAAATATTGAATAATATTATTCATAGCCAGTGACTGTTGTAGTTATCTTATGCGATAGTTTATTATTTGAGGTATTAATTTTTTATTTTAGGTACCAGATTTACAGAAAATTGATGCCTACAATGATATGAGCTACTCTTTTCAAGGATTCTATAATAATATATTTAGTAGTTAGTGGCGATTAACCATATTTCACATAGCATTAGAGTCTTGTTTTCTCTAAGAGTGTATTTGATTGACTTCATTTTTCATAAAAAAAAATGTCATTTTTTCACATAACTTCATATTTTTAGTGTGTTTATTGACAAAATTTTCCATGAAAAACATTTTTCAACTTTTGATCATGTGACCATATTTTTCTCAAAGAGAAGGAAAACATTTTCTTTATAAATAGCACCTGATTTGCTAATTACAAGTCATCAAATTCCAAGAAGAAGGGCACCTGATTTGCTAATTTTGTAAGCTTTTTTGCTCAAGATTGTGTACTAAGATAAACTTGTTCTTATATATGAATTGGTATAGAGAGAAAGGTACACTCATTATGCCCCTGTTTGACAACTTAGAAATTGGATATTTGAATAGTGATTTTTTTGGAAAACGTGGTTAACAGGTAAAGAAAATTTTTAGATTTACATCCATAATATTTTACTGTGTGAATGCGTGATAGAAAATGAGTATGTAGAAAAAAAGAGTTTTGAAATAATGGATGTCAAACAGGGCTATATTGGCTCAATGAAAAGAAACCAATTCTTTGACGGTATGTGTTCACGAGGTATATTTGTTACTCTGGGCCTGTGGAGATTGGACAGGGCATAATGGAAATGCATCTTGTCTCTCTTTCTTTAACTCTTATCGAGTTCTGTCTAGTACAATGTAACAAAATGCCATCGAAGTACTAGGAATATGATCAAGATTTGCCCCAATGGTGTAAAACATTAACCCTTTTCAGGATAGCAATGACATGGTTGTCTGTGTTTGCAACTTGAATATTATTAGCTATCGGGTGCGAGTTTTATCCTTGTAAATTGACAAAAATTCCCTTTTGTGTTGCACCTTTTTGGTTTGAATTAGACTTTAATGCCCTTGTATAACTTAGTTTTGTTGTGCTGAACCATTATTAGATTCTCTCTCATGCTTTTGTCTACTCCAAGATGAAGCAATAACGAGAATATTTTTAGTAGAGAGATAGTTCACTAATAGGCCGAGCAAAAGAACCATGGAGGAGTACACTGGGATAAACTGAATGACAGAAATATTGTATTCTTACCTTTCTTCCTTAATTTGCTCAGTCACATCGAGTCCAACATACCAAATCAAATCTATGCTGTAAATTGAGGAAGAGAAAGGCAGTACATACAGATTTATAAATAGAGACGAAACAATTAACTCCGACAGTCGGTGACGGCAGAACATTGGCGGCTGTAGGGGTTAGCTTCACCACCCGGTTGGCAGTTGTAGTATGATGCACCTTTCAGGGAGCAAGGGACATTGTTAGCTTGCAGTGCACCGTAGCTTATATATTTGTTGGCAACTAAAATGCGCCTGTTTATTTCAAAATCCATTTCAAATTCACCACACTCTGCCATTGATCCTTGGCAGCCCGGCTTCATCGACATCCTGCTGATTTCACGGTTGGCACTACCGGCATTGGCGGCAGCAATGAGTGTAGCCACCAGCATGGAGGAGATAATCAGGTGGAACTCGGATGAGTTAGCCATTATGAGGTTCATATATTCTCTTCACTTAAATCTCTGTGTTAAGTTTTGCTACAGGGTGTGTTGAGAGACTAATAAGTAGATGGGGATTGAAGAAATCGGTAGCCTAAAATCTTGTGCTCCAATTCAAGGAATCACTTGGCTAGAATCCCGCTTACTGCAGCTAATAGTCTACTTCTTGGTTCCTTGGAACACCAATAAATTTTGCATAGGTTATCGATTTTGTCGAAGAATGGACAGATGAACTCTAATCTAGTGTTCCAAGGTGAAGTTCCATTAATTCCAAGACATTTATAAATTGAAAAGAAAGATTCCTCTTCTAACTTATTTCATTTATACATATTTTGTGTGTCATCACATGAGTTGCCTAAACCCATGTTCTATTTCTGCCAGAAACGATAAAATAGCAAAAACTGGTTCTCTTCACCTTGTGTTGGCCTTTTTGAGATTTGGGATTTCACTTAAAGATCAATATTGTTAAGGCCTAAGAATATTATTCCAAACCTTTACATGAAGGGAACATCGGCATTTTAACCTTAAAGCGTGATTAATTCTAGATTTCGAAATAGGAACCGAATTTTTTAATCTACAAGCTTTCCTTGATCTCTAAGCTTCATTTCTCCTAGTCTTCTTTGGTATTTTTCAAAATTGATCCAAAAAATGAGTGGACATCAAGAAAATCCGAAACCAATTCCAAAAATAGTTTATCAGAGCGAAATTATACAAGAGGGAACAAGAAATAATTTTTTTCTCTTGCTAGGGCAATCTAAATGTGCTGCCCTGGCTGTCCTCTAGACCTATTAATAGGGCTAGGGTTCCACTTCTAACAGGGGCAAAGTTAGAATTGTAGAGTTGTGTGAGCAAATTTTACAAAATTTCAATTGTGGGAAATTTGAAAACTATTAAGAAAATTTTTGAAAATTTTGTACAAAATCTTGAAAAATATTGTGCAAAATTGTCAATTTAAAAAATTTAGTGCGGGGACAGGTGACCCCATTGCTCCCACTGTAAATTGCCCAAACTCCTAGTCATGTTGTGGCTAGGAAACTTGTTTTGGCCTTATTGTACACGCAGTCCCATAACTTTCATCACTAGTGAAATCAAGTTCCAGACTTTTTAGAAGCTACCATGGGACTTGATAAGGTGTGTATAATTCAGATTCCATTTATTGAATCTCAATTAGGTTAATTTGAGACTGTACAAAAAATTATTAGTTTCTGCTCAATTCACTAAAGATGAAAAATCGAACTCCTAAATTATACAAAATGAATAACGGTCCCGAATTCAAGTTGATTCTATTTCGCATCTTCCTCGGAGAAAGAAGATCAAATAATTCCCAATCATAGTCACTGCCAATCGGATCATCCTTATAATATATACATGAGACTCAATGTACTAGTGTCTATACTTCGACAAAACTTGTGTCATGGTCAAGATAAACCGTATACCCTAATTGGTAGAGTATGTGATCCCATGAAGAATAAAGTGCCAATCTTTATTCATCAGCCCGGGACAAATCAATTTTTGATTGGAATATAAGTTATATCTATCCCTGATTCTCTAAGCAAACGCTTAACTCATATTATCACAAAAGTGATTGAAGACATTAATTGCATGTTCATAAATATAAATGCAATAATTATTTGAAATAAAATAACTAATTTTTTTTAAAAGCAAGTCAAACTTTTAATTTACTTTTAAGTTGCTTATTTCTAAAGCTAACATTTGCTTGCTACTTTAGAGGATTGGATGTTAGAATAGAACCCTTCATATGCTTAACAAATCTCAAATGACATTTTAGAGAACAATGGAATCAAATCTCCCTAAACTTTATTTAACTTTTATTTATTAATAATAAAAACTCTTTTTTTTTTTGCTTTTAAGCTGAGCCAAACACGTTTTGAGATACATAGAAGAAACTCCATTAATGCTGCATGATTTGAAGGGATGATCTCATTTGTATTCTTTCATGGCAAAGACTTTCTTCCAAGCAGGCCTTGCTATTATATCTGTACACCAGCTGTTCACGTGAATGCGAGAATCAAACAGTGCTTTTATTTTGGTGCCCATCAAGTAGTTTATAGTGGGAAGATGATGGAAATCTGCAAGAGTAAAACAATCTCCAGCCAAGTATTTGGACTTCGCCAATCGATCTTCATATACGTCCAGAACTTTAGCCAGTTTTTCTTCGTACTCTTCCACCACGGCCTCGTCTGTAGGCTTGCCGGTATTCGGCTTTATGCAGAGTTCCCATGTGAGTTTTGCTGCTGCATTTTCATATCTCTGCGCTTCCACTTCCATCCACACACACTCCATTGCCATTTCCTTTGGATCCTGGCTTATGAGAGGTGTTCCCTTACTGGCATATTTGTACGCAATGTATTTGGTAATAGCCCTCGATTCTGCATCACAATTTGTTAGCAGATATTCGTCTAAAAGTTTAAACAGTTAGAAATTAGCCCGCATGTGATATCTTTGTGGGATTTGATCTATTGAACGCACTCGTGTAAAAGCTAATGATAGGAAAGCAAACTTTACCAAAGAGCTTCAAGTCACCATCTTCAAGGACTGGTACTTGACCAAATGGCTACATCAATTCAAGAAAAGAATGTCAGTGGAGAATAAGAAAGAATTTGAGTTTCTTAAAAACAAAAATCACAAAATTGATATCAAGTCGATCGAGAATAAGTCTTAATTTGTCGTACTACGGAAAATGAACTTAAGCATACTTACATTAAGGGACAGAAAAGGCTCCCTTTTTGGCTCTCCAGCCCGTAGGTTAACTGGGACGAACTCGTAGTCGAGCTCTTTTTCTTCGAGACACGCTAAAACTCTCATTGTTGCAGTAGAGAACAAGCCACCATGAACCTTGATTGCCATGAGTACAGAGTTTGTGAAGTGTATACCAGAGCCAGAAGTTAGTGACTGAAAAAAATTTGATATGGGAGATGGAGAGTACGTGCTAGTATTTATAGTGTGAAATTCGTTTGGAAAATTGAAAAACGCTGTGCGTGGAGATTCAGGGATGACAAAATTGATTCATCCGGTCAAATTATTTCAGATTATTAATAAAGACAGTTTGACCCAGTTTTATTACGTACTTGCACATGTCATATGTCACCCTCACGCAGTTAACAACATATCTTTTATGTCTGAATATTACGCAAGTGCGCATGTCACTTAGCAGATATTATTCACGTGTACATTACTTTTGCAGAGCCTGTTGTAAATTAAAATCAAATAATAATAAATAAATAATTTTAATTATATTCATAATTTTTCAATTACATATTTCATTAAATTTTATCAAAATATACTAAAAAGTCTGATTTTTATATTGTTGACGGGGTGTGTGGGTGAGCTTAGTTGGGGAATATGAAAATTTTCTAGATTTTTTTTAATGCGTTACTATATGTATTTAATTGTTTTAAGTGTGATTTAGTTGTACATTTGAAAAAAAAATAAAAAAAATAAAAAGTTTTTGAGTGTAGATTTGTTACATTTCGCAAAGGTTGAGAATGAAAAGTGCAAATCCTCCAAAAGAAAAGAAGACAACTCGATTCCAGCCTCATTCCCTTCTACTCAACAACATGCTATGCATTAAGATGATAAAACTGCACGGTGAAATAAAATGTGAACACAAAAAAAAAAAAAACTATTTGCATTTCGTACTTCTCAAATCTTTAAGATTGATCAGATAAAACTGTTAGTTATAATTGATCAGATAAAACTGTTGGGTCATGTCTCCACCAGTTACCGGGTCAAACTTGCACAGATAGAAACTGCATGTAGTTCCAAAAACAAATCAATAATTCAGAGAAAAATTAAAATTTACAGTGTCACCATCAATAAAAACAGATGTTAACTGACACTCCATCCGAGCAAAGAATTAGTATCTTATTCTCTCGGTTACCAAATGCAACAATGCATCGAGCACCTTCAGGCAAACGAAACTGAGCAACTGATCGATCAGAGTTGAAATACTTAGGCAGCACTCCTATCAAAATGGAAATTTGGATTAATCCCGGAGCCCAACAAGAACTGACAAAAATGATACTGATGACCACTGCTTACACTGTCAATGAATATTGATCACCCGACGGGAAAGCGAAATATATGCCATGGTCTCATAGACCTGTGCTCGCATGCACACACTCATGAATCATGGCAGCAGTGCACAACTAACAAAACTTAATATTAGCATAATAGCACGTCTAGCTGTGTTTAAAAGTGAGTCAAACTTACTTTTAATTTACTTATTTTGCAAAACAATCTTAAAAGTTAGTTTTTGTACTAATATAACTTACCTTAGCATTTACTGAGAAATGGAAAGCAAAAGGCAGTGTAGCTGTAGTTTTTTTCACCAGGAAAACAAGAAATAGTATACACACCAAGATGAGGTTTTCATGAACTAGACAATTCAACGCAGAAAACAATAAACTCCTTTCCGCGCTTGATTGAATTTTGAAAACCTTGGCTTTTTTATTGATTCAAGGATAAAAAAAATAGGTTAATACAATGCTCAGTTTTAATGAAGTTCCCTTCTGTATGCAGTTTTATCAGACTTCTTCCCCTTGACATGTAGTGGATTTATAAAATTCTTTTATTACCTTAGTGATGACCGTCTCTCAATTTTCTTCCAATGTCAACTACATAGGAATGCAACTGATCTTGTGAGTTCCCAACTAATCAGATATTTCAATAACGGTCTCGAATTCAAGTTGATTCTATTTCACCTCTTACTCAGAGAAAGAAGATCAAATAATTCTCGATCATAGTCCTTGCCGATCGGATCATCCTTATAATATACATAAGACTCAATGTACTAGTGTCTATACTTTGACAAAACTTGCGTCATGGTCAAGATAAACCGTATACCCTAATTGGTAGACTATGTGATCCCATGAAGAATAAAGTGACAATCTTTATTCACCGGCCCGGGACAAATCAATTTTTGATCAGAATATAAGTTATATCTATCCCTGATTCTATAAGCAAACACTTAACTCATACTATCACTAAAGTGATTGAAGACATTAATTGCATGTTCATAAATATAAATGCAATAATTATTTGAAATAAAATAACTAATATTTTTTTTTATGACAAAGTAAAAATGCTAATATTCCTAACAATATTGGGTGCCAATCCCAACAAAAGTATTCATTTGAATGGTTTTTAGATTTGTAATTGAAAATCAGATTTATTATATTGTTTTTGGTTGTTGAAGAAATATGTAGCTATGCATACTCAAGAAATTATTCGAGTATGCATATCGATACTACTAAAAATGAATAAATTCAATGTCACCATAATGATACGTCCTCACCACATGTGGTAGTAAGGATATCACCACGAACCGCGTAAAAAACCTGCATGCATAATAAATGCTTCGATAGAATCAAAGTGCTTCACTGAAGCATAAGAGAGCTTCGCCAAGTGGATAGGGCTACATGTCTCTCTTCGAGGGAGGACCCCTATCGATGACTCACCTATGGAAGAAGCACTAAGTTAGGCCAAGGGCCCAAAAGCTCTTGGAAGTCTTATCCACCATCACATTGAAACTGAACGGAGTATAAGAAATTGCAGCCTTGATCTTCTGATTATTATCAAACTTATACGCCCCGATGAACTATAGGGTGTTAGTCCAAAGATGCTGTTCTTTGGAGGACCCATGGGATGGCAAATTTTTACTAATAGCAGTACGTAATATAAAATAATATTTTAAATTTTTTAATATTATCGTATATTATTAAATTCTTTAATAGCCTATGTTTGATCTTTATTTTAAAAAAATTATTTTTCCTCAAACTCATTTTCAACTGTGAATTTCACGAGATTCATAACATTTATCAAAATTTTAACTGCACATTTTACCAATTTATATCAAATTTTAATTTTTTGCTAAACTAAACGAGGTCAATAGAGTTGGCAAAAGATGTTATAATAATACGAGTTATATAGTTTTCTTTTGTATTCAAATCTTTCAAGGACGCGATGATTTAAAAATTTTATAAAACTAAACAATAAATGAAGAAATTTCTTTCTTTCTTCTTATTTGTATCTCGTTCAATTTACAATGTGAAATATGTTCGTGCACATTTCAAAAAGCTTATATATAATGTTAACTATACACTTGATAAGATTCACAACGTTTACCTACTTCTTAAATACACATTTTTTAAGACTCAATAATGTTTATAAGTACTAAAAAAATAAATAAAAATAAAACTTAGCCAAGCAATATTCCTCCACCCCACCCCATAAATTTGGTCAATAGTGATCTTCAAGAAGTACTATACTAATGTTTTAAATAAGGAGGTTTGTGGACTATATATATCCACGTCACGTTTGTGCTTGTCGCAGAATGGTAGCTACCAAACAAAACCTTAAAAAGTAGATGAACGAAACAAAAATAAGATTTATAAAAAGATTAGAAGACTAATCTTAAAAATCCCATATTGTAATACTTTGACATGAAACATTGCAAAATTGGTCCCTAAATTCTTATTCAAGTTGTAAGTTGGTTCTCAATCATTAAAAGCAAGTTGGACATCAACTTTCATCATACATAGTTACATAATTAGTTTTACACAATCCGTCCACAAAGATAGAAATCATCTAAATATTTGTTAAATTATCACGTAACCTCCTTGAGAATATATCTCACTTCAAATTTCTAGGCTGATTCAAAATTGAGCTACAAAAGCTAACTTCATAAAGTTAGACATCTGATAGATACGTTATAATTTAAGAAAGTTTTGAACATTTTTCATCGTTTATCACAAATCTAAACTGAAAGGTTGAGAATCAACTTATTGTAACGGTTGAAAACTTGCTTGCTACTTGAGCGACAAGGTAGGGACCATTTTCCCCTACTTTCTTAAGACTTGAAAGCTATGCACGTGAAGTTTTCTCAAACCCTAAACCCTATTGCTGCAGCAGATTAAAACGCAATACAAGAATATTGTTTCAAGCGTATCTTGTGTATTGGATAGCAGATTTTGTTGGCAAGAGGATGCTCTCTCCATAGAATGTAAAACAAGAGTGATATGTGAGACCAAAATTAAGATGATTTATTGTGTCTTCGATTGGTTTAGTTTGATTTTAATTTTTGAAGTGTTAAGCAAAATTACATTTCATCGTGCTTCGTCAGCATATAAGTTTCACGATCCACACATTTGAGTCCAATAAATCGAGGTTTTTTCATCTGAAAACAAAAAAAACATTAACAAGTAATCCGACGTTCCAAAGTAAAGAACATTTCATTTCAAAGCTTCCACCAATTCAAACTTATTTCAACAGATGCATATATTAAGAATCCAATGAAGAGAATAAGCAAATTACCTGTCAACTGTACTTGATGAAATGTCAAAATCTTGTGATATGTTAATTTACAAAAATGACAAGAACAATGAAAACCAGAGAAACTTCAACAGATGAAATTCTATCTTTAATTGCTTAAAAATCAACTTTCTGCGGGAAGTAAATATAACACACCTTTGAAGGGACGTCTTAATCTATTCCTCAATGTCAATAATATACAACTTTTTTATTCTGTGCTCTGCGCGCACGTTTCAGCAACTTATTTCTACTTGTCTTTATCAACAACTCGAGGAAATTGCCTACATTCTGAGAGTGGTAAGTGTAAGAAAAAACCTGCAAGCATTAAAATCAGAAAAAACAAGATAAGATAAATAAAGAGGATGAATGTGACAGACATAAAGAATAAAATGCACGTGGAAATCAACCTGGAACTGCAATTCTCGTGCCCGCCTTAGATTGAGCTGGAGCTCAGGGAGACAGTAGGATCGAATTTAAAATGGTGAAACTGGCATGAACTCATCATTTTTCTTTTGGGATTAAAGGAAAAGGTAAATTTTGGGGGCAAAATTGTTTGAACTCCACCAACAATCCAACAATAATGGACACAGAAAATATTAAATGTCACCATCTCAAGTGATCAGTTTGTCCCAATCATCTTTTATCAACATCGTTAGTCCAGCAATGAGTTTGATCATGAAATCATGCAGAAGTCTTTATCGGTAACATCAACCGTGCTTAGAACTCAACTATTAGAGCATGTATGGTACACAGTACACGACTGGGCAGTACAACAAGTAAGATTTCAGGTTTAAGTTTCCTCTCAGTACTGCCCAGTGCCATATAGAATCCACCCAACCAAACAAGCCATTACTGTACAAATCTACAATGGTGCTGATTTGGTTGAGTTCCTAGTATGTATAATTTGGCGAATAAGAGATCCTTTTCTATTTTCTTCCTTCAACTGAAAATAGGAAATGGAAGAAAGAAGAGACCGGGTATTGGCTTAGTATGTAGCGTAACAGGTAGTTCAACGACTGATGGCTTCCATGGCAACCCGAACAAGTCGTAATAATCCATCCACATCTTGGAAATTAAAATCAAGTGCCTTTTTGACAGAAGAGACACCCTCTCTAGGTTGTGTTTCTCCAAGTCTTGGATTAGCAGCTGTGAAAGCAATTCTAGATTTCCTGGAGGCTTCCATAGCAAAACTAACATCCTGTGCCTATATAAATTAAAACTCAATAAGCAGGAAGTTGACATAAGACATAAATAAACTTCCCCCGCCCCCGCCACCACCACCACCAAAAAGATATCCTGGGGAAAGAACATAGACAAGTGGCAGGCAATGGTGTGCAGGTTTGCAAATTTGTATTACAAGTAGATGGATGTGAAATTGACGGGGTTGATGCCCAATCAAACCATACATGTTTCCAGCTACAAGCATGAAAACTATAAACCAGATATGGTCATAATGGTTAGGAATCATTTTTTATGGATTAAGTTGTAATAAAAAATAAAAAAAATTAAATATTTTAAAGATATACTTGAGCATAGCCTCTTTACCGTGAGAAGTCTCGTGGTGCAGCTGAGAAATTGATTGTACTTACATAGTTAAGTAGCCTTGTGAAACTAGAACGATTTCTTGGAGAAATAACATGGCTTCCACCAACTTGAGGCGAACTAACACCTTTGGCTAACGCAGCCTTGTCTACAGTTGATTGGTTGTTCACATTGTCAACATCAGAAGCCGAAGAGGAAGGAGATTCACCTAAATGGTAATATTGAAAATTATAACTATTGCCTAAGTTGTCTTGTAAAAGCAAAGCAAGCATTTCACCAACACAAAAATGGCAAAGAAGAAATTTCTACCCAGCTACAATTTCAAGAGAATTGAGACTTCCATTGCATAATAGCAGCCTTTGGAAACACGCTTCGATTATCAATAATCTTTAAGCTGTTTACTAATGCTAACACAGATCAGCATCTAGTTCAGACAAATCAATTGAGTGTCCACTATTTAAAACTTTTGTCTGGAAGTAAAGCATAAAACTAGTCATCAATTTCTGATTTTCTAAGGAAGATTCAGTTCATTTTTTAAGCAGCGTCGCTGAATAGAATTGTTGTAGCGCAGTGATTTGTGTCATTACGAGAATAAACAAAAAGCACCAAAAAAGCCATAATTCTAAGTTATGTTCTCCATCCAAAAACAAGCATGCTAATCTTACAATTAAATATTGACTATGTGAATTAGTTTGAAATCCTATAATAAGAATATTTTGTTTCAAATTACCAGGGGGTACAATTTGCAGAACAGTTTGCAACTCATTTCGATCCCTGCTTGCACTAGTATGTGAAGAATAGATTACTTTCATGTATGCAACCTCCATGCATTTATAGGCCAGGGCAGCAGTAGCCATGTCTTTCAACTTTTCATACTCATGAGCACAAAACCTATAAACAAAAAACAATTAGTTGACAGAGGAGGAGCTGCACAAGACCTTACAAGTTTCCATCAAAAAAGTAACTAGAATATACTAAAATGACAAACAAACAATCTGAAATGTCAGATTTAAAACCCAAGCATTCAATGGGTTTTCACAATTCTCCATTAAAAGAGAATGCGGAGAATTAATACAAAGTGCCCAGTAAAACGCATTGAAGACAAATTATAGACTCACAAGCTTCATTATAATACCCCAAAATATTTTATAGTTGTTATTTATGAAAATTAGGACCTTAATACAAGAGGATGAAAGTTAGGGAATAAAATTGCATATCAGACAATAGTTGAAAAACTACCAAGTACAATTTCCTGAGCTATATATATGATCTAGTATTACTATAATTACGTTCGTCTATGTATTTATAATTATATATAATTACGATTGATTGGTTTAAATTTGATGGTTACTATAATTATGTGTTGATATATTATGACTAGTAGATTTAAATTATAGGATTAATATAATTACGCGCATCTATATATTTATATAATTATATATGATTATGATTGATTATGAAAATTAAGTAAATTCTCTTATATGTGAAAGATAAGCTAGGAAGATTCATTCTTAAATAAGTAAACTACCACGTATATGTGAATATATAATATATATAATTATGATTGATTGATTTAATTGGACGATTACTATAATTACGTGCATCATCTATGTATAATTATATATAATTAGGATTGATTGAATTAAATTATAGTATTACTATGATTACGCGAGTCTATACATGGATAATTATATGTAATTATGGTTGATTAATTTAAATTATATAATTACCATAAATACCAACATCTATATACATGTGCGTGTATAACTATGATTGTGGGACACTACAGACAGAGTTCATGAATGATTGTGGTGCGGAAACCTTTTTGAAATTCTTGTAATAAGAATTATGTAATATGTAAGAATGATATTTGAACAATTATGTCTTGTATGTATTGAATAATAATTAATTGTTGTTCAAAATTGTACAGTGTCTTTGTATTTATAGGCAAAACTATTACTTAATCCTATTAATATAAGGAAATAACTAAAATCCTAATCTAAAGGAGATTAAAAATCATATTCTAATCAATAAAGAAAAGAAATCATATTCTAAACAAAATATTAGAATAAAAATATAAGACTTATTACAACTAGACATTTTATTATAAATATCTAATCATAATCCTATTTACAATAAGATTGTCCTACATCACATTATTTGAGGTCAAGTTCTTTCATACGTGTTTTATGAAATCATCTTCAAATTTACAAGGTAAGTGTAGTCATATGTTGTATGTTAAATCGTTTTTCATACTTTACAATTCAAAATTCGATTTATAAATATAATATGGATCCTATATATTTAAGTTCGTTTTAGTAGCACTACGCACGGAAATTATAGCAATGAAGTACGGTTCTTAATTCCTGTGTCTCCCTATGTAATGATTATGTATGGGGATTAAGACCACCAAAGTTTGGTTTCTAATTCATGTGCCTCCTTATGTATGTTAAAAATTTCTAAATTCTAAATATGAATTACGATTTATGTGGTTCAATTATTAGAATTTTATCTCATTATTTATGATTCTTCCCCTTTTAGGTAATTGACGTTCGAGTTATTGAAGTTTGGAACTGGCAGTGGTGGTATAATAAATATATTATTGAATAATTTATTATTTTACTTTTATGATTTATCAATTCTTTTTTCAATTACTGTAATTGGGACAAGTCACATTTTTATGAAAGTTAAGTTTTCTTTTACAATATGTATTTAATGACTCAAAATGAAAGTTTTGGGTCGTTACCCAATTCAACAACTTGCCCAATTGATATCAGGATTTAACTTAAATCTATCATTAGGCAGAAATCTTGGGTTCGAATCTTGGAAGATATCATAAAAAGCCGTGAGGGAGTAAGTGGGTAAATGCCCACCCAAAGCGAACGGTACATATGATATAACGTCTTGGACACATAAGTCGGGTCGTAACATTCATCCTCAGACACAAAATCAACACAAACAAATATATAAAAATTGAATTTTGCGAAGCATGGACATGTCATAAATCCTATGTGGGTAACTTACTCGCAGAGTTTTGCCGTGCTACTATACATTTGAGTTGACTGACTTGTCTCATTATGCTTGGTTCTCTCACTGTTTCCAGATTCTAACAAAGATGCCCCGTGGAGGAACTTGAGGGCAGCTTCAAAGTAGAGTCCTGTACTGTCAGTTGATCCAGAACTCTGCAACAGAGGACCATGTTAAGAAACAGGCAACAAATTAAAGCCAAAAACTACGACAGATTCAACAGGATGTGTCTAAACCTTGAGACGATCAGCCATGTGTTTAAGGGCCTTTGCCTCTTTTACAGCATTCATAGCAGCATGACTGGAGGAATCCCTTCGATTGGGACTTGGGGCTTCAAGATCCCCACCCTTGCGCACTTCTGGAGTGGGATGTCTGGTACTAAAGGGCTGGTTTCCACTCATCTCAGCTTTTTTACCCTGTCTATGAGCCTTTGATGCATCACCATTTTCAAATGCATCAATTGCCGAAATGTTTTCTCCATTTTCTTTCTTAGATCCAGACATACTTGGTAGTGTTTCAGCCTGTCCTCTTGCTAAGGGTGGCAGTGAGTGCGACTTTTCTCTCCCATTGGATTCAAACCCCACCCGGTCACTTATACCAGATAGAAGCTTTTTGGATGATTTTTTGTCATCATGGTCCCACTGAAGTTTTTGCTTTTTATCGTGGCCTTTAGTAACATCTAATCTAACATCCGAACCATTATGGCCTGCAAATTTTAGCTGACTTTCTCCTTTACCACTATCACTCACTATTCCTTTAGCAGAATCATTCTTAGAAATGAATATCTTGTCCGCCTTATCAGGAGTGAGAAATTTTTCGTCCCAATTGTTTCGTCTGCTCTTCAATTTTTCCTCGTAGGAATGCAAATGATCAACCGATTCAAGGGAAGAATCCGAAATCTTTATTTTACCTTTATCGATGTCTGATCTAGAATTATGATTTTTGTCTTTAGACCGCGAAGAATACCCCTTTCCATACTTCTTTGTCTGATGCCCACTGTTCTGAGTATTTACTCTTTCTTCATCTTGGCATTCCTCATTACCTTGACCTAAGCAATCGACATAGACATCGGTAACATGTTCGGTACCAAAATCACGACAACTTAAACTCTCTATCTTGACCTTACCATCAGATGGTTGACTCAAATCCCCATTTGAAAATTCAAGCACATGGGACTCTCGTGAATCGTGACGGGTGGTGTTGCGAGTTGTGTCCTTTATCACCATTCCAGGTCGCTCATCACCCCCGTTATCTTCACCACCCCAAAACCTTCCTGTACTAGCCATAGTCAAAATCTCACTATCCTGAAACTCATCTTTGTGAACATGGTTCCTTCCTGTTGATGAAAACTTATCTGCATCAGGATACCTAAAAGGGGATGAAGACACTGATTCAACCGGGGAACCTTTCATTTCATGGACACTAGGTTTGTTTTTACACGACCCCGAAACCTTTGAAGAGCTTGAATTGGCAGCAACAGAGAACTGTAGAGAACCCATACTACTTTTCATATAATCTGCAGCATTTTCAATTGGTTGGTCTTTCATACTCCTACCTTTTTTGTCCGTTCTTACATTGCCGTTGCTTCTGCTGGTGTCTTTTCCCTCGGACTTGGATATTCTTGTTTTCTTTTCTTTCCCATGGTTACTTTCATGGGTTTCTTCGACAAAACCCTCAGTGTCTTTGGGATGTTGTTCTGCACTAGGCAAATCTTGATGTTCATTCCCCTTCCTCTTTTTAACACAGTCTTGATGATCGTATTGGGTCATACACAGCAAACCATCATCTGAAGTCCCTGTTTTATTGGCTTCTGGATTCTTAGCTGATTTCTTTGCATCACCCCTGGAATCCTTAGGGTTGGCATATTTGCTCCTATTAGTCCCTACGGCATTATTTAGCAAACCACTATTCGAACTATGGCCTGCTTTTGAGGATTCTCCACCATTGTCAGAGGTCCAATTTCCATCGCCAAAATGTACATTCTCACTCTTAACTTTTTTAGATATTCTGAAACTCTCTGAATCAGACCCTCTCTTATTCTTTACCTTTGAATTTGTACCTACTTACACATATTAAAGCCAAGATTTAGAGAATTCTAGATAAAGAAGAACAAGTAGCTAAATGAAAAGTCATACTGAATTAAGATACCTCTATCAGAGTGGCCTTCTAGTGATGATTTTTTCTCTTTCTTATTATCCTTGTGCTTCTCTCCAACTACACTTCTAGAGTGGCCCAAATGCTGATATGCACCAACAGAAGGAGAGTAGCTTGCTCCATTTTTGCCTGATAGCTTTACGTCATTTTTCTGAGAGTCCAAAAAGTGAGTGGGATCATCTAAGTCAGTTGAATTTGTCACGTCTATTGACCCATATTTTTTCTTCCCACTAATTATATTTATGTCTTGGGAACCAATATTTTGTTGGTCTTGACCGAAACACTTAGTGTCAACTGATGATACTCCCAACAAAGTCCTAGCAGAATAATTAAGCAGATTCTGTTGACTCTCAGAAGCAGGGGCAGGAGCTGAAGTAGGAGCAAGATGGTAGAGCGCACGTAAAGCCTTTGTAGTCTGCTCCTCAGGGATACTACAGTGGTTCATTCCAGGCCTAGAGAAATGTTCAAACAATAAATTATCAAGAGTCAAGTAATCTTAAGCATGCAAAGAGAGAGAGAGATCATTCAGAGCAACACATTTCTTGTCACAAAAACAAACTAAGCCTAATTCCATATATATTTGAGATAAACTGTTGTTCTTTTTACTAGACAATAACAAGTCTATAAATAAAACACTAACAGAACTTACAGCCAGGTGAGCATCCTACAACGCCATTTATCAGGAAGACTCTGAGGATTTATACCAAGTGGAAGAAGTCTCCACTGTTGACACCTATCACACTCGACCCAATCTTCTTGGACGACAGGAGCCACTCCTGCAGGGGTAGCATCAGAAGTGGGTCCACTTACAGTTTGAGGAGCCATACTCGAAGCCACTGCAGAGTAGGGAGATGGTTTTTTGATTTTTTTATCATCGCTTTTCTCCTTCAATGCACTGTGGCAATCGCTTCTTTTTTCAACTAGCTGAGAGTCCTTCAGCCTTCTCGAGGAAGGCATTTCTCCTGAAATCGATTCGCTATCTTCTTCTTCAAGCTCAAGGTCTCCAAAGAAGTCCTTATATCTGTCTCCAAGCTTTCCAGGGTGCCTCTTGAAATCCAGTGAATCATTTTTAGACGTCAGATTGTTACCAAGAGAGCTCTTCCTATTTTTAGGCATCAAAGAAGAATCAAGCATTAACTGATCTTTTGAAACATCTGAACCTTGAGAACCTCCACTCTGAACTCCTTTTGATTTCTTCCTGGACCCTGAAGATAAGTGCTCCTTTCCAGGAGTTGGTTTCACACCTTCCTCAGTACTGGATGCTTCTTTCTGAACTGCTAATTGTTTTGAGGGATTAGTAGCTTCAGCACCAGGATCCTTTCTCCCCTTACAGAAATTTGACTCAAATTGAGCTTTTTCTGCTTTGTGGCCATCATTCTGTGGACAAGCTGCACTGTCAATCCCGAAATTTGCATTTTTACTTTCCCAAACCTTATCAGGTGGATGCAGATCTTCATCGTACTTCTCAACCCTGTCAGTATCTTGAACAAACAAACTCCCCAAGAGCTCCTTCTTTATCGGTCCAGAGCAGGTTTTGTCCTTCACACCATCGCTAGCAGAAATATCAACTTCCTTAGAAATACCTTTTGTATGATCGCCAACACCATGCTGTGAACTCATTAAAAGAGGGAGTTTAAGAGTATTAGAAACAAGTTCCTCACAACCTAAAATGTCAATATCAGTTTCCTTCTTCAGCAGACTATCATTGCTCTTCTCATTTATCAATTGTGTGGGAAATGCACGGTCTTTTTCAGATGATTTCCATTTCCTCTGGTTTAAAGCTTTTTTATTACTCCTACTAGAAAGAGATCCAATGAATAACATCCCAGTACTTTCCAAGGTTTCTTTGCGCACGAGTTTGGATTCACTTTCCCCGCTAAGCTTACCTTTTTCTAAGAGATCATTAGATAGAGGGGATAAAAGGAGGCTCCCGTGGGCAGGAAATGATGTCATAATCTGTTCCGACATGGTAATGGTACAGTGTCAAAAGAAAACCTCGTATTATTGGGTTAATTTACCATAAAAAAGAAAGAATCAGAAAGTTAAGATCAATGTAGAGGGGCCATAATTCACCTGAAGAATACTAGTAGGAGACTCGTCTGGCAAATCCTGATTGTTGCCACGTAAACCTTCACTAACTACGGGATTATCATCTAATGAAGATGATGGAGATACATCCAGACCAAGTCCACTGTAGATTTCAGCATTCTGTCTTGTCAACAAATTTTCAGCACCAACTTTGATTCGGACCTTCAAAGTTCTCTGTTCAGAAGGATTACCAGACTTCTTGACAAGGCCAACATTTGAAGCGAGCTCTTCAGCATGTGTAGAAGGGGTGGAGACATCCCTTTTCACAGAATCGTGTATGGTTGCAGTCTTTCCTGAAGATTCTCCAGGCCTTGCCGATGGAAAAGCATTTGTCGAAGCAACTGAGTTTTCCCTACCATCCTGTATTGAGTACAACTCAAAGTGCTCAAGTAAACTAGAAATTTCATGTGAGGTGAGTCACGTCCTAGATCCTTTGTGCGGGAAAACACAGTGAGCAGAAAAAATCTGGATTCAAACTTAAAAATTATCTACCTCTGAATGCTGATTGTTTGGGAATCTGGGCCCACTGTAGTTATGAACTCCAGGTGAACTCCTTAAACGAGACCAAGAAGGAGACCGCTGATAAGTTGGTAAAAATGAACCATAGCCACCGAATTTTGTCCCTGTTAAGCAATTAAAGTCCCCAGTCAGTACTTCATACTATAAGTCACAACCCTCGAATTTTATGTGTTCAGTCACTCTTTTGTGTCAACTCACCCAAATTCTCAGCCGAAACTCCACCTTCAAAATCTTTCTGGAAATGTCCAAGAACATTTTGGAGTTTCTCCCCCTTCAAAATAGAGCAAAATAACATATCAGAGATACGTTCTAATCAAGCCACCAGCAACGACTAACTTCCCCGACTCTACATGTCAGATCATAATCTAAAGTCCTAGTCTAGCTATCTTTGGAAAGTTCAAAAGCTAGATACTGTTTAGTAGACATCATTAACAATACCTAAACACAGTACTCGTCTGTCTCCTAAAAAAATCTGAACAAGGTTTAATTAAATCCAAAACATCTATTATCATAGAATGCATTTTATTAGCATATTCTTGTCATGAAATTATTAGGCATGAGTAACTAACAACACTCGTGCTTTTCAACAAATTAAACAAACAAATTATAAAAATGTATGAATTGATCTAAACAGAAATAGCAGACATTTGACAATTGAACAGGATATAATTCATAAATCAAACTACATGCAGCTTTAGAAGCTGAATAACTGAATTACATAGAAAAATTAAAAAAATAAAATGAGCTTACAATGTAAGAAAGGGCAATATCAGGGTCAATGGCGGAATCATCACCATCATTCTGAAAACGGCCAGCCTCTCCTTCTTCAAGCTCGTTTTCTTCCATTTCTAACCCTAAACCTGACAATTTTCCCCCATCTATATACTACCCACAGAAATCATCAAAACCAAAAATTAACAATAATAGAATATAAATAGCAAGAAAGTAAGCTATTAACAACCTCGACTCACCGTTTACTTTACTCTACAAACCGCCTTTAAAACCAAAAAATCTCAACGATCCATTTGATAAAATCGAAAACCCAGGAAAACCCACCAAGGATATCACCTAATCAGATATATACTACAATTTATTAACCTACCAAACACAGCTTTGTTGCATATACGGTATTATATTTATGTTCACATACAGATACACTTAGAGAAAAACGAAAAAAAAAAAAGAAATAGGAATAATTTGAATGTAAAGTTACGATCTCTGATTTGGAATTTTTAGAGCTTGGATCGTGTCGTGCGATCTCTGAAGCTCAAACCAATGAACGGAGAGAGAAAGAGACTTTTTTCCCAAAATAATTATTTTGGTGCATAGGTGCCGCGTTTATTCTATTTTTGTTCCTCATTAGAAATTGGAAATTTACATCCCTTTTTTTCTTAAAAAAATAATTACTACCTTTCAAGAGGAAGCGGGTTTTGGGGGGTGGGGTGGCGTGGAGTGGAGTGGGTTGTTTCAGGGGGCGGTCGATGGTTGAAATCTGTTTCAACAACGACTTTGCCTAAAGGGATAAACTTGCAGAAGACAGCGGGCTATCCGGCTATATATCACAACATCTATAGCGCGTGATAACCAGACATTGGTTGGGTTGAGTATAAAATATGAAAAATTACTTTAATTTTCTGGGTAATTAGGGCATAACATTTTTGTCCTTCACTATCATTATGCAAAAAATCTTTAATGTCAATTTTTTTTTTACATTTTTAACCTTAATTACACATTTCATTGCATAAAACGTCCCCCATCTCCAACATTTTCATTCAATAAACACGTCATCTTCCCGAATTTCCCCCCTCCCATATCATCTTCTTCCTCAACCCCAACTACGTCATCTTCTTATTCAAGTTTGCACGATGTCATTCTGATCACTAATCCACCCCCAAAACCTACTCTACACGCAACTCGAACCTAAAATCCAAGTGTGTAGCAGATAGTAATAGTGAAGCAATTGGGGCACACAGAATTTTGAAAAATGGGTACCCAGAAATATTTTTGCGGCTGAGAAAGTATTTAACTCGTGTTTGATGTTCATTATTTTAATTTAATTTATTTTTCATACTCATTTTCAATCACATATTTACACGATAAACGATTATACCCGTATATTCAAAAAAAATTCTTACTTTTTAACCACGCATTCTACAAAAATTACTATTCAAAATATTTTATTATTAGTATTTTTTTTTTTTTAAGGATGTCAAACAAAGGCCTTTGATTGATTTCCGGGGCAACCTCTAGCACCATTGTCCAGTAATTCTCTCCCACCACTTACCTGCACTCCGTCGATCCCAGAGTTCAGCCAGTATTTTTCTTTTGCTTCTATCATTTGTTTTTTCAATGATGAACTTTAAGTTGAGTTTTGGAATTTGAAGGTGGAAACTGATTTCTTGATCGGATTGTTTGAAGGAGGATTAAGAGATTGTGTTTGAGGTAGAAGATGATGGGGAGTGGGTAAATTGGGAAAGGTAAGAGTATGTTTTAAAACAATAATACCCTTTAATTTTGAAAAAAAAAATTGACTGCAAATGTTCATTTGACGGAAAAGTCGAATGGAAATTAACATAAGGATGTTTTGAGTAATCAAAGGTGCAATTAAAGGTGAAAATACCAAAAAATGGAAGGTATGAACGTTTTGCACAATAATAATGAAAAGTAAAGAAGATGCGTGCTAATTACCCTATTTTTTTTTTATCTTCAAACACTTTTGAATAACTCTCTTTCATTTTCAAATAAATAAATTACTTATTTTAAAAGCAATTCTTACTTAGCCCCTGTTTGGTGGTTATTTCCCAAAAATAATATTTTGAATATTGATTTTTAAGAGAATATATGGCTAAAAAGTTGTGAATTTTTTTTGATTTACGTACAGAATATTTTATTGCGTGAATGTGCGATTCAAAATGAATATGTAAAAAAAGAGTTTTCAACTAATGGTTGTCAAAGATGACTTAATTATCAAAATATGTAAGGTAATATTAATATTAAAAGATTTTTCAATTTTATAACTTATTTACTTGTAACTTGTAAGTGAATTTACTCAAAAGTAAACATGTACAACAACATATTAAATATAGTCCTCGTTTGACAACCATTATTTTAAAATTCTTTAATTCTCATACTCATCATTAACCACACATTTACACAATAAAATATTCTGCATATGAATTCAAAACTTTTTTCCTACTTTTTAATCACGCATTACAAAAAAAAATCACTATTCAAAACTCCGTTTTCTCAAAATAATGACTATTGAATAAGGGGCTAATTACAATATAGCATAAAAAATTTAACAAAAATGAGTGATGGCAAAATTTTCTATTCCGTCCTAAATTAGAAAGTTATGGGAAGCAAGGTCCTCATCCTGAATTCTTTGAACTAGCTCCTAATTATTTATTTTATTTTGTTTTTATATTTTAAATAAAATTATTATTAAAAATAATAAACAATTAAACAGCTCGATGTATGAAATGTTATAATCCCTGCCCTATCCCTCAAAATCTTTAAGATGTGAGAATAAGGAGAAAGTAAGTTATTTATAACAGGTTACAGCTCGATGGTGTGAACTCTTTCATCAATAAAGAATTATAGAGATGACAAAACAATCATGCTCACGAAAATTGTCAAGTCAATAAATGATAGCGTTCAATGTGATTTCTTATCCATGCATAACTTGCACTTAGTATTAATCATGATAATCTCAACGATAAACACCTTGAAAGTTCATTCAAATATGTGTTAATAATTGTCCATATTCGTGATAAAATCGTGGATGAAAGAGGTGAACGTGATTTATTATTCACACATAATGCGTAATGTTCATCACGAGAATCTCGACAATAATTCCTTTGTAGGTTCAAAAAAAATACATTACCGATTGTCTTTACGCGTTGTTGAAAAGATTCCTAAATGATTTTAACATTTTTTTCTTATTTTGAAGAGCAACAACAACAACAACAAAAAAAAAAGGTTCTTTTCTTTCTTTTTTATTTATTTTTTTGCTGCATTGAGTTCGATGGGTCTTCTTTAAGCCCGCTTAAAAACCATTTTGAAGAAAAAGGGATTCATTTAGGATGCTAGATGCTAAAATTAAGGTTGAGAATAAGTTGGTCAAGTATCGTATCATAAGTTCAAAATGCAAGGATTTTATGAATGCATAATAGAACTTAAAACTTTCGAATCCTTTCAGTCGATCACCTATGTGGCTATGTGTTGAGGCAGAATCAGTGATATGATCATACTTTTGATGATTTTCAAACTTCGAGACATTCTAAATTTGATCAAAATGATCTCAACACATGTATAGTAAGATATCTAGCATTTGAAAGAAAATCAATACGGAGAAAACATGAATGAAATTATGATGTCTCGGGATGGTGACGGCGACGTTAAATTATTATTCTATACTAATCTTTATAAGATAACTTAATACTCATTTTAATTTATCATTAATTTATTTACATTAATTAAATCCACATAATTGTCCATGATTGGCATCTAACAATTATCTCCGCAATCTTTGGATGAAGAACGATATGTGGTTTGACAAAATCAAGATGATCATTTATCATGGAAGTATAATCACTTCATCAGTATAACTAAATTGATTATGAGATATGAAGAAAGAAATCACGATTTAACCTCATACGTCTTTTACATTGATCCAAACGAGTTATGCTTGAAACCATTTATAAACTTTATAACTCAACATTTGCGAATAAATTTATCTATCAATATAAGTGAAGAAACACAAGTTATAATCTTTTACTATTCAAGAGTGAATAAACTTCGTTAGAGATTAATCACAGACATTAGATATTGTTATCCATATAGAATCACTATTACAGATTTGCTCTCCTAATAAGTTGTCTAAGTACTCATTTAAATGTTCCTATATTTTAGTTTGCAAGAATAACTATTTTATTCGATAGAAACGGATACAATACATGCAAATATATCAGTAATAATGATATTTGAGTCTTTTTATCGCATGTGACTAGGGATATTCAAGACTAAAACCTTGTCAAGACACAAATTTTTTTAAAGTGAAATTGACTTTGTTTTTTTAAGAATACGTATTTAAATTGTGGAGAAAAAATTGTGAATTCCATAGAAGTGTGGTTGAAATTGATTTTTGGAGAAAAGTTGTGGCAAAAAAGCCTCAAGGGTGGTAAAGATTGAAGACTGCAGCGGCTATTTTTCCCAGCGGAAAAATATTTTTCCTTACACGTGCCACTCACACTCTCCGAAAAGCGCGTGAAGATATTTGTTTGACCTATCCGACGTGGCCATAGTTCTTTCACTACGACTTTACCTTAACAAGCTAAACGATAAACAACTAGGTCCCAATTATTGGTACTATCTACTATGTGGAACATGGGGGTATTATTTGACCAAAATACCCTTTCATATATGTGGTCACGGGATGGACAGCAAAATGATAACATTGTACAAAATGAATGTCAATTTTGTCAATTCAATTGGTCTGAAGAACTTGTTAGTATTATTATCCATCAATTTCAATTTTCAAAGCTGTTCTCAATTGAATAATTCAACGTACCATACGTGCGGATACATGTGATTTTTTGCATTTATTTTAAGATCTGATTAATTATGACGATTCTTTCATGACAACTTACCATGGTTGTTAAAATCGAGACTCAAATTGTAGAAAATCGATAAAAAAAAAATCGTACACAAAATTGTATTTTGATGGAAGAATTAAGCATGATGTACAACTAGTTTGACACCTCAAATACTCAAAATCGAGATCATTAAGTTAAATAAATATTGTTAAAATCAATAGTAAAACTCCGTGTCACGTTAAACAAAGCTGT